ACAAATTATAAATTATAAATGTATTACTTTAAAAAATATAATATATTACACTACTTCGTTACTATCTACATAAAGTAACTCGTTGCTTTACTCGTTACTTTCCTCACCGAGCACGTACAAACTGCGCATGCGTGAGTGGCAATAACTTTCCTTACCAGCAGGCGGCGGTAGTCAACCCCCCAGGTAGTGCGCCGGACTCAGATGAAAATATTCGTGCTGGCCAAACGGCGGTACTACACTTCCGGTTTGGTTGCCAGGCCCGGAAACACTTTTCCCATTGACTTACATGGGGAAAGAGTGGTCTGTAACTCGTTGGATAATTTTTTTAACTAAATAAACTACCCAGTATGAACACTTGTATAGCCCTTATTAAAAAACATTCGTTTCTCAAGTTGTAAAACATTTGCTAATAACGTTATTCTGAGAGTTATTTCCCTCTGCATTATGAACGCGCATCTAATCCACGGGACCGCGCAGCCCGGCACGTTCATGTTACGTGTCCCGACCAATCAGAGCACACTGTGCTCACAGGGAGGGTGGGGCTGGAGCTTTTGGAGCTACAACGAGCGTTAAAGGCAGAGAGTGAAATTCAGTGAATACACGTAGTTTACAGAGATGCTGTATGAGGAACCAATGTGAGTTGCGTTTATCTTTACCCATGGATGCACAATGGGAACGGATCCATATCGTCTTACTGCCATCCCACGGAGCTGTAATAATGGATATATTGCACATGTTTGCTGTAATTCATTGTCATACTACATGGGCTGTATGATTGAATCTTGTACCGTAAATGTTGTATTAAATGGAGTTAATATTACCGATATCACTAGATCATTGCTAGCTAGCCGCTAGCTGATAACTGCCGCCTCGTTCATATCAAATCCATGGTGGTAGTGTGTATTTGTCATTTAATACAGGCAACAACCGGAAGACAGAGAAGAATAGACTGCGTGATATAAAAAATAATGGGCATACCTCCACCCCTCGATAGTTATCGCTGACTCAGCCATGTTTATGCAGCACTGCACGTGGAGATGTGGACGCGCAAGTCGCGCAGATTACGTACATATAAACCTACAAAGTACTGATATAGTAAATTAAAAAATAAATGATTATTTTTGTGTAGTTGTATATTGAAAAAATAATGTATGGTTGTCACAAAATCCCACGGCACACCCGGACTTGCCTCACGGCACACCAGTGTGCCGCGGCACACCGTTTGGTAACGGTGGTAACTCAGATGCTTACATGGACTTGTATGTTTTTTCCTTCATATCTAACAGAAATAAGAGAGAAAGAGATGGGAAAGTGAGTAAAGAGGGATAGGAAGGAGGAGAGATATTTGCGAGTTGCATACTCACTCTGAGTTTTCTCGATTAATAGCTTATATAGACAATACCATGCTTAGATAGACTCCTAAGTTATTATTTCATATGTGACAATATGTAAGAAAAGAGAGGGAAGAGTCAAATTATATTGAGAAATTGAGCAATTGATTTCATATTGGAACATTCATTTCTCAAACCTATGTTTTATGGAAGAGGAAATGTACTTCTGATAAACTAATCCTTGATCAAACGGTAAATGGTGAATTAATATAACATTTAGAATCATTGAGAAAGGGTTATTCCACAGGGACTAGCTCACATTTAACTTAAAATAACATTTCTCTGCTTTGGACTGATGAGTATATGATTCTTGCATGTTAAATGACTAACACAAACCTTACATTTATAATGTGTCAGGAAGGCTCCCAAATCATTCTGAGGGGGCCTATCCTATTTTTGTAATTGAATGATAATGTGCTAATCCATTACCTTGAGTTGTCTGCACTCAGGAAAACATCCCTATCAAGTGTTAACCCAATAACTAGGACAGCTCTGAAGGCCAAGGGTCAGAGAGAGAGGATCACACTCTGCGGCTGCAGAGAGCAACTTATCCACGGGCAAGGAGGTCGTTCGAGATGAGAGGATTCTAATCTTCAACTTTCTGATGAGATGGGATGCTTCTTCATCTTTCTGTTCGGTGGGCTCAGGCAGACAACTCTGCAGGACGAGCGATGGTTTCAGAGGCGTCATACAAGGTTCCATGTTTCTTGGAGGAGCAGATGTTTTCATAACCTCTCCCATCACGGGGGGAGGCATCTGGAGGTGCCACTTGGAATAGGCACTGCTCTCAAGCAGATAGCAGAAGGAATGCAGGCAGATGAGCCTCTGTTTCACTGGGAGATCATAAAGTGCTCACTGAATTGAGCCACAAAAGCAGAGCATTTGGGGGGGATTGAGATATGGCGCTCTGATGAAGAAGAGTTTTGAGCCAATCAGCACCTCAGTGCTAATCTACAGTATCAGGATGCCTTTACACACCAGACATTCTGTGTCATAAAGAGAGGAGGAAAACATGTTCTTCTAGCTCTCGTACAAAGATAACATTTGAATTGAATGACCAGATGATTACAGATTATTAATTAATTGATATTTTCAGATTTATAAGGTATTGAACAATAAGATATTTCTAATATTATAACAGACAATGTTACTATCCTTAATCATTACCAGGTAAGAACAGATGTTTTGATATTGATTACAGTTGATGCTCTGAATAAAGAACAGATGTTTTGATTTTTTCCTTTTCAGGTCGTTATACAATAAAATGTTTGATTCTTCAGATTGTTAAACATTTTGAGAATTGTTTAGTTTTCCCTTCAGATTTTGAGATGACATAATGATTGATAGTTGAAGTCTGATTTATACCTCAATTGGATTTATTATAAATCCTAAATTCTAATTGTGTTTTAATAAGTAATTGCCTTGAAGTAAATCTTTGAGATGTAAGCTGATTTAGAATTTGTGTTTGATGAAGGAGATTAACTGAGGGATAAATGATAAAATATCTTATTTTTGAAACATATATTTTGCTATAATATTGTTGTATTTCACGTGTTTACTATTGTGCTTTTTGACAAATGATGCCAAACACTGAAGAGAGATGATTTTATTATGATTGATTGTATCTTGTCATGGTGATTGAAGTGTTTTCAATCTTGTTCTACTTTTGATGTAATTAATGTGAGTGAGCCCACACAACTCTGAAGACGCTTATTGACTTAAGTATTGACTGAAATATTCTTTAGACTAATGTTAATTGATTATCATAAATTGATAAAAGGGTGGATCTGTAAAGGAATATTTTAGTCTTGTTAAAGTATATAGAGTTTAGTGACTTGTCCTCGGGAATCTGTTTAATATGGTTGAAGTGTATTCCTGCCTGTAATGTGATCCATAGCTTCTCAGGAAGACACAGGTCAAGAGGTCATCTGATGTCTTGTGGGGGGAGAAGCTGGGCTCATGTGGGTTTGTAATGCAACAAGTCTTTGTCTCGACATCTGGCATGCATTAAAGGAAAACCCGCGTGTTTTGGGGCCCTCCTCTTCTGAGGTATAGATGTGTGCTTGGCGCTTTTGGTCTTCAGAGTTTGCTGGTATCTTGCAGGAGAACTGTGATATGCTGTGAACTCTCCGGCCGCTCAGGCTCTCAATAAATATCAGTGTATTGACAGGCGAATCCAGTTTCCCTCATTTGATGATTGGCTCAACATTGCTGCAAAGAAGTTTTATCTTCACAATGTTGACAACCCCCAGGACAGAGGGGCTAAAGAACTATTTTGTGTTCTTGATAGCTATGGACTGACTCAGCATGTGACGGAGCCCACGCACAATAAGGGGCACACTCTGGACTTAATTATCTCAAAGGGTTTGAATATCTCTAAGGTTGTGGTGACTGATGTTGCACTCTCTGACCATTCCTGTGTTTTCTTTGAGAGCTCTATTTCTGTTCACAAAAATGTTCAAAAAGAGGTAACCACAAAGTGATATTTAACTGAAAATACTAGGGAAATGTTTACTCAGAATTTCTCTTCCACACTTTCCCCTGCCAACATCTCAGTAAATGAGCTAGTAGATCATTTTAATTCAAAAATTAAAAATGTTATAGATGCCATTGCTCCAACTAGGTTAAAGGAAGTGTCTGGCAAGAACATATCTCCATGGAGAAAGGCCATGACCGTGAAAACAGAAAAAAGAGAATGTCGAAAAGCTGAACGCAGGTGGCGAAAAACAAATCTCCAGGTTCACTTTGAAATCTATAAAGAGAGACTTGGCCTTTATAATTTGGAATTGAAAAACGCACGACAATCGTTCTTCTCTGACATCATTACCAAAACAAAAACAACGCACGTGCCTTGTTGCTACCGTCGACAGACTAACTAACCCCCCAGTGTCAGTAGCCTCTGAATTTCTATCCACCAGGGCGTGCAATGATTTTGCCTCTTTTTTCACTGACAAAATTCAGAAAATCAGACAAGCAGTCAGTGCCTCTGCATCAGGAACAGCAAATGTGTTGTCCCTATCTCCACTTAACATCAATTCAGACATCATGACACAATTCCATCAGATTAATGATAAAAACCTAGAGGACATTACTCAACTTCTGAAATCCTCCTCCTGCTGCCTTGATATTATTCCAACAGGATTTTTCAAAGATGTTTTGCCTTGCATGGCCTCAGATCTACTTCATATAGTAAACAAATCTCTTCACTCAGGTATTTTTCCACAGGCCCTGAAAACTGCAGTCATTAAAACCGCTCTTAAAAAAGAATATCTAGATGCTTCAGTAATGAACAATTACAGGCCCATATCAAACCTGCCATTTCTAGGTAAAATCATTGAAAAAGTTGTTTTTCAACAGTTGAGTAATTTCTTGCATTTAAATAACTGTTTTGATGTGTTCCAGTCAGGCTTTCGTCCAAACCACAGCACTGAGACTGCTCTTGTAAAGGTCTTTAATGACATCCACTTAAACACAGACAGTAGCGGACGCCATTAGCCACACGCTAGTAGCGTAGCTTACAGAATGACATTAAAGTTAACTACACATAAAACAATTTCAAAGACACTTCTTAGATCGAAATATGACAACATCTGTGTACACACTACTAACCTGTTGAACAGGAGACATGAATGAAGCGGAGGGAAAGTTGCTGCCATCTGTCGTCTGTCTGTCATGCCGTTTCTCTAACGCTAAACCGGAAGTGAGGCTAAGAACGGCGAATTGAAAGATAACAATACCATTAGCACTCCTAGTGGTGACTTTTTGAACCGCAAACAAATTATAACATTATAAAATGCCTTTATAATTAGCAGCACACTGTTTGAAGCGCTGCACATTATATAAACTAACGTTACACACGGCAACGACATTAACTGCAAACAGTCGTGACTTGTGTGAAGTGTAACATTAAACAATATATTCTATAACACATAGGTGTGAGCAAGCTCTCTGATTGGTCAATAGGCGTGTTTGATTCCGCGATCAAAGAACGGTCAAATAGAACGTGCCTTTTCACAAAAGTCAGTATCCCTCCGCGTCTGAGAAAAACGGTATACCCTTGGCCTGAAAAGCAAAGTGCTCCAGTACAGGCGTACGGACCTCGGCGCAAGCGCCTCGGTCCTGCCGCAGTACTGTCGTACCAATAATGACGTTAAAGAACGGCCTCTCGTGTATGATTGCTTAATTAACATATTAAATACAACATTTATGACACCCTCGTTCCACTCAGTAACCCTCTTTGTTCTAAGACATGTGATAGTCTATACACTATCATCTTCTCCATCCATTTACACAAGTGTGATGTTAATGCTATGGGTCTGTACTGCCCATGATTAAGTACGTAAAATATGCGCACTTCGATCATGCACTGCGTGGGTGTAAAATTACTACAATCTGCTTGTCGAGTAATGTTCTTAGTGTGGGTCAGACATTCGAGATGGCCGGGTTCGAGTCTCGGAGTGGAATGTTTTTCTCTCCAGCTTTTTTTATTATCTGTTTTGAATGACTTTTAATCTTTGTATTTAATGCGGGGCTGTGGCTCAGTGGGTAGTGTACTGGACTTCGAATCAGGTGATAGCAAGTTTGAATCCCACTGCAGTCAACATGTAGAACTTCACCCTCAAATTAAGGTGGTAGCCTGTCTTCTGCGTTTCACGGCAAAGAAATGGGTGGGTATCAGCCTCAGTATTGGTGTTGCTCCAGCTGAAAACTATATCCAACCATATCAAATTAATTGTACCACAAAATGGTTCTGAGACTTATTCAGAAATGTATACAAAGGTTCATCACAAACACTGCAGCATTTTCTGCTTCTATTTCATTGCATGCTTCAGAATAGTATTATATATTGATATAGTGCTTGTGAAGGAAGAGGGGACACATATATATATATATATATATATATATATATGAAAACAAGAGGGACATAATATCACAAAACAATTAATGATGATGATTATTTCAGCCATATGTATAATAGTGTTAATATCTAGGAGATTTAAAGTAATAATAATAATAATTCCCTGCAAAAGCACTAATAACAATACAATAATGGCAAAAATAGCAATTCGATATATAGTACAAATCAATCATTGTCATGTGAAGCAAGGAGTGGTTGGACCCAAATGCAGAGACTGGAGACAGCAGAAAACGTAACAAAAATGTATATTTAACAGGCAGAACAGGAACTCAAGTAACAACAATCAACACGGAAAAAACAGAACTTCATGACATAGACAAACAAGGAACCGACAAGAACAGGACAGAAAACCAGGACTTATATACAAACAGGGTGACGAGGGGATGAAGTGCAAGTGGACACACAACACAGTGTAGTTCCCAGTGTATGCCATGGCACACGTGTATGACATACATCCCAGGTCTTCGAACACCAAACGTATAACTTTATCAGTTTTAAAAAATAAATAAACAAACCTGAAAACGTAATCAATTCCCAATTCCCAATTATGCCCAGGTACTCACAAGAACATATCCTAGATGTCTGAGAACATCCAGAGATTACATTATAAACTTAATTTTAGCCTCTTCACCTCATTGGAGTCAAGAATTACTGTCAAGCTCACCAAGAAACAGCATCGCGTATGAAGACTGAATGAAAATGGATAGATACATGTTGAAAAGCATTGTAATTAGTAAAAGAAACAAGAGCATTTTTTAAACTTCATGCAGATATTAATAGCATTTCAAGCTGTGCATGTTCTCAGGCAGCAATGCATATGTGCATTTATCTGTAGCTTTTTTTGTTGCTTTCCTACAGTATGTGCTTATGTACCGTGGCACTAATGAACAATGTTAAACTCAGGGATATGTTTTGTAATATATCAATGTCAACACATTATGTTTTCTTTAAAAAAACATTTAGTGGCTATTATTGAATTTCCCCATGAGGTCTGGACTGTTATTTGTCGAAAACACATCCCAATGGATGACTATATAAAGCCCAGTCACCGTGGCAAAGTGCAGGCCACAAGCGGGGCTAGTAACTGCACAACATCAATGACAGAGACCATTGTTTAAACAAAGTAATTTATTTAAGGAAAATTCACTCGAATACTACAACATAAAAACATAGGTACACACATATATACACTGCACACTAGAAACATGTGCAAAGTAGTAGTTTAAAAAAAAAGGCAATTAGTGTGAGTTCAAAGGGCAAAGAACAGCCTGCGGGGGAGCCGCTGTGAAATATGTGTCGGTGACAAAATCAGACAACATTCAATGTTGCCATGAATGACAGTATATTTTGGATGACATCCAGTCCAAGATCTCCTCTACGACCAGCAAGAGGATCAAACTGTGCGGTGAGTTGCTCCATGTCCTCATCGCTTAGCAGGTGCTGGTTTCGAGGTACGGTGACCCTCTCTGGCCAGTCCAATGCAACATCCCCTGCATCAGCTCTACCCTCTCTTTCTGGCTCCTCCTGAGCATCTCCCTGTCCTCCACCAAAGAGGCTCTGCATGGCAGAAGTGGTCTGGCCCTGCCGTTCCAGGCAACCTTGGACAAAAAGTTGTATGGGACTCTGGTGTCTTTCGATCCTCAAACCATGATTGTTCCACTGGTCCAAAAAACCCGTAGGTCATGGTTTATGTGTGGGAGATAGACATAATGCAGGGCCCACATGTGCATTTCATTGTCTATGTCTATTATGCCTTCACTCTCCAGGAAGTTAAAGAGGTCGTAATAGACATTGCTCACACCTCGCCACAGGTCACCCCAGAGCCGTTCTATTGTCTGGTTGTGGGTGCTTCTTCCACGGAGAGCACTGCCTCTGTGAGAGCCTCTAAAGATGCTCATCATTAGGCAGACAGAGTTGTTTTCGCCCCCATGGTCGGTTCTGACACTCGAGGGCACACCATACTTGGCCATGGGATCGCCTTGGCTTTTTACCGTCACTTGGCAGTCTAAATGAGTACACAAACAGCATATGAGTGTGTATGCATGTATTGGACCATAGATGGCGCTCTTCTCATTAGTGTGTACTTATACTGCATGGGGGGGTGTCCGTCAACCCAATATGGGGTCCTAATTTTTTCTTCAGGGTCTTCCAAATAGGGCCCAGATCAGGAATCTGAAATATGGGAACCCTAACCCACCCAGAAATGTTTATTCAATTAATGTCAAACTTTATCACAAAATCCTCTCATAAGCTAAGGGTCTGACAGGCTTGTGGTGGGGGAGGGGTAGAAAATGAAAAAAATTGAAAAAAGGTCCGTGGCGCTCAGAGACTTTGAGAGTGTGTTGCTTAACTTGTGTGGAACCCGCTTGCAAAATGTGGGTATCCTGTGACATTCGACAAGGTCAAAACTGAGGTCAGAGGTCACATTTTCATGCCGCACGGTGCCCTTTACGGCACAAAGGAAGGTCCGACAGCTTTGAGCTTGGTCTTGTTGGAACCGTCTCGGAGAGCAGATGCAGATTGATGCCTCTGCTTCAACTAAATGTCAAAGGTTATGCCTTAAAATGTAACAAAACCTTCCCTTAAGGCCTTTTGAGATGCAACTGCTGCATGAGTTTTTAAAGGACTTTGGAAAGGGCTAAAGAGATACTTTTTCACAGGGCATTGTTTTTGCCTTAATGATGGACAAAACACAAGAATAGACGTGAATAGGGGGACACAATCATGTTTGGGCCTTATACTTGTGACGGATAGTTTAGTTAAATCGTGTGAATGGTATGTAAAAAGTGACTGTACCATAGGAAGTGATCATTACCCAGTAACATCACACTTGTGTAAATGGATGGAGAAGATGATAGTGTATAGACTATCACATGTCTTAGAACAAAGAGGGTTACTGAGTGGAACGAGTGGTGTCATAAATGTTGTATTTAATATGTTAATATATTGTTTAATGTTACACTTCACACAAGTCACGACTGTTTGCAGTTAATGTCGTTGCCGTGTGTAACGTTAGTTTATATAATGTGCAGCGCTTCAAACAGTGTGCTGCCTTAAAGGCATTTTATGTTATAATTTGTTTGCAGTTCATAAAGTCACCACTAGGAGTGCTAATGGTATTGTTATCTTTAAGTTCGCCGTTCTAAGCCTCACTTCCGGTTTAGCGTTAGAGAAACGGCATGGGGCCCTTCTCACTTCTCTTATTTTTCATTTCCTCGCTCCTCGGTCTCGGTCTCACCGGAAGTCGATTTGTCTGCGCCATCTTGAGTAGCGTCCCAATGGCCTTATTTTTGCCGGAGGACTGAGGATCGAGGAGCGAGGAGCGATAATGGAGGAGCGATAACCGAGGAACCATCAGACCATCCTCCGATGAAATCCTCAGACACTTGCCCCGCCCCCTTACTGTGTATCGCTCACTGATTGGACGATGCAGTGCATGCACTGATCTGATGCTTCTTGACATGAGAGCAGTTTCCCAGTGGAGTGAAGAAAATACATGAACCTCACGGGACTCACTCCTCAGTTTATACCGTGTTTTGTTTCAATTCATGTATCATTTAGTTACAAATATGTGATATATCTGAACAACAAAGTGGTCAAAAATCATTTTATGCATTATTTGGAAACATTTTCATGATCGCTTTTTTCGTTTTACATTTTCATTTATTGTCATTTCCATTCAATCAGTCATTAAGTGCTATTAAAATGTGAATTTGTTACATATCCACACAAACCAACAAAGTGTGCAATCCAATGAATGTTAATCTA